CTTCAATAAAAAAATTTGTTCGATATTTTCACGATAAAATGGCTCTGTAAATGCATAAAAATGCATTTACAGAGTGAAATTAGTGTGTGGAATAAGAATGTCTTTGACAATTTAGCTGGCAAAAGACACGAAAAATCGTCGATTCTTTCGTATTTGAAGCAATTTGGAAATCGAAGCGGAATAGAATTTAACATTAGTAAATAATATAAAATAAATATTGAAAATTGTAACGAGATAATTATGGGTAATAGATATATTATATCTAAATAAATAGATGTTATATGTTTTTATCAAAGCGAGAATTAGCATTTAGAGGGCATATGGAATATATTGGATCTAATAACAGAGGTAATTATAATGAACTTGTTTATTAAGTACATCAGATAAATAATCTATTAAAAATACATTTAAAGAAAGAATTAACTGATTGCCCCTGGATGTCGGCTTCTTATAGAAACACAGCTTCCCTATCATCAAATGTCACGGCACGCCCCTGATATCGTGATTGTTATAAACGATTTAAACTTAAATTAAACTTTGGGAGAAAGGTTTTAAAAAGTTGAAGCTGGAAGTTGCTCCATAAATTTCCTGATAAGTACCGATGCATTATATTATCGAAACATTTGGTTATTCCGCCAGCCACAACCAAGATCTGCTTTTGTATACTCTGTATACCTATCTCTTTACAAAACAAATAAAATATAACCACATCTTTTCATTGTCTAAAATTTAACACACCTAACTGTACAATTGCTTGAAAAGCAATTACACAACAGACGTATTCCAGAGTTAGACCAAGCATCAAAATTTTATCCATTTCGTAATTATCTTACATGTAGTTCGTTCATATTAAAAAAAGCTTTGTGTACTAATAAAAAACAACTGGTTACATAAAATAGGTAAACTATGTAGCCTCCATAAATGTAAGAAATCTATTCTGTTGGATCAAATTCCAATTATATTTTGAAAATTTAAAACAAAATATGATTCCTATTCATAAAAAATAGATTTATGAATACAACGTATTTCTAAAGAAAACCCTGAGTAGACTACTTTTGTTATCCAGAATGATGCATATAGTTCACAATTTGTTCACATCCTAATCGTGCAAAATATCAGTCTTTTTCAGTTACTGGCATGTTTTCTTTGTCTATTTTTGATGAGCAAATGCAACACTTCTTCCATTTCCCAAAATTATTAGCTCCTTATTACCTCTTAGAAGGATTTTAAAGTTAAAACTTCAACAATGTGGTTCATAACGTGACAAATGTGAAAATGTAGTTTTCATTGTAAATATTTTCACAAGCTGAAACCAAAATTTTCACAAACAAACTGTAAATATAATAAAAACACAAGAACACTACTTATATTCTGAAAAAGAAAAAACTGTCTGAAAAAAACCAACAACGTAATGAGCATGGTACATATCTTTCTCTAACTCTTTCCACCCTGTGGGCACTAAGAAGGCCTCTTTTAGCAAAATAAATGACAACACATAAACACACACATACATATCCACAGAATTTTTTTGCCTGTTTTTTATTTTTTGGGTCCAGGAGTCTCAGAACGTGGAGCTTGCAAAAAACTTGGAGTCAAATTCGACACGATATTCATACTTTCTTTTGTTATGTATATGTTACTATACATAACAGCCGGAAAAGTAAAAAGAGAAAAACTTTTAAAAAAATTCACAAATGAATTTCTTTTTGGACTGAAGCTTGGTACTCACATGCGTAAACGGACGGCGGAAACCGTCGACGGAACGGCAAAATGATGTCAGTTTTGCCGTCGAAGCCGATGGAGTACGAAGTTGAAAATTTAGCAATGTCGTCATAATGATCACGTGGGACGATAGCATTCGAATTATGGCGGTCGGCAAGGCTAAAAAGCTTTATGTATATACTAATACGCTAACATATTTCATTTATACACTATATTACTATCCGATTTAAATATTAATGTCAAATAGATGCTATTCCGAATACTTTACGCAGTATTCGGAATGGCGTAGTCGAAGTTCGGTTACGAAAGTAATCGATATTCCTAAGTTTCGACGATTTAGAATATTTTTCCTATCCAAATTCTTCGTTTTTGAACTTTTTTACAGGGTGACAATAATTAACCCGTACAAGTTTTTTGCATCGTAAATTTATTAAAGAAATGAAAATTAGCAAAACAACAGCAGATAGCAGTGACAATACTTTACGTATTAATCAGATATTCAGTTGGTTTCAAAGTGGCCTCCTTTTGCCTTGATGCCGAGCCCCAAACGCGTTTCTAAATTCTCGGCGATGTGCCGCAGCTCTTCTGGAGACAGTTTATCAACTCCAGGCACAAGTATTACTTCAGCGACTCCAAACTTTTGTGGTGCTTAGCGCAGGCCCTAGCCTCCAAAATGGACAACACACTGTAGTCCATCGGATTTAAATCCGGTGAGTACGGTGGCCATTCTGCAGACGAGATGAAATTAGGAAAATGAGCCTTGCACCACTCCTAAGTCTTCTTCGTCCTGTGTGCCGGCGCTGAGTCCTGCTGAAACGTCCAAAATGCTGCTGAGCCCACGTAAGTACCACGGCCTCGAGAATGTCACGGCGGTACACGTTTTGATTGATTTTGGCCCCTTGATCGACGAAAACAAGGAGTGTCTTGCCGCTTGCACAAATTCAGGCCCAAACATTGGATTCTGGAGATGTTCGATGACGGCTGATCATCGGGGAGCCTCCGCGGACTAGTTCCTGTCATTTTGATGGTTGTGCGCCTGAAAAGCTTCTCGTCTGCGAAGAGAATGCGCTCCCATTGTTGACCAGCGGCCCGACGCTTGAGTTGACGGCATCTTTGGAGTCGCATGCACTTGTTTTCATCGGTGAGGAGCTGAACCTTTTGGAACTTGTAGGGCTTGAGTCCGAGTTCTTTTTTCGCCATTAACCGCATCGATTCGCGATTGATTCCGATCTCACGAGCAATTTTTCTCATGGAGATCTTCGCATGTCAGTCAACTAGCTTTTTGATGATCTTGCTGTTCCTAGACGTGTTGATGGTGTGCTTTCAAGGATTCAAGGAGTTTGGCCATGATGGTATACCATCATGGCCAAACTCCTTGAATCGCTGAACTGCATCCGAAACTGTCATTTTGGGAACACCGAGCAAACGAACAATTTCACATTGACGCTTTCCTTGCCGGAATAGCTCCAAAATTGCACAACGTTTGTTCGACATCCTTAAAAAAATAAAGAACTAACCCTTATTACACCGAAAGCACATCTACGTGGGCAGGAAATCACGGAGAATTAAACGACAGTATGTAAATTGGTTACGATAAAAAAATTCAGGTGCAGCATTGCTACATACTTTGTACGGGTTAATTATTGTCACCCTGTATTTGCGGTAACATCGTAGACAAATTTAGAAAGTTTAATTGATATAACAAAGCAATCCCAGTAGGCACCATTTTCGACTACTGGCCTTCTACTATAACAGCTGTTTATATTTACGGCTGCCAGATGGCGCGCATTTCGATTGTATGGTAATTTCCGCATGTGAATGGAAAAAAGAAGGAGCGGCAAGTTTTAGCTTACGGATTCCGTCGTCCGTTTCCGCATGTGAGTACCAGGCTAAACTGTATAACTTTGTACCTTATGGACGGGTGGATGGTCGAGGTTGGAAGACCCGGGATCGAATTCAAATAAGTCAGTTTCAAGAATTTTTCATGAGCTGCAAATCTCGTTTTCTACCACTCGACCGCCCTTTGACTAGGCTTCCACTTGCGATTTCTAGTCGCAAAAATAAAACTCATTGTTTCCAATACAAGTGCATACCTTTGCGACTAAACAGTCGCAAGGTATGCACTTGTTTAAAATTTCCAATTATTCCCAATAATTCGTCAAAACTACCTTTTGTCATTCGGTAATACTGGAAAAACTTTGCAGGGTGCTTACATAAATCTTCAAATAAATTGTAAAATTGCCCTTACAATAATCTTTGACTTGTTATTGGATGTACCCAATAACGATGCTTCCGCCGTTTACTTTTCGCCCGAAGCAAAAGAGCGATCACTCGAGTAGTTTCAATGACATCCATTGGAAAACTGTTCTATTTCAACGATTTATCTATCGAAGTGTGTGTACAGTACCTAGTAGATTTTCTGCGGCAGCGATTTATTCGTCGCCGCGACTAGAAATCACAAGTGGAGGCCTAGCCTTATTGAGTGCCTGGACGAACCACGGTGGGATATGGAAAAAAGGATGGAAAGAAAAAACAATTTAAAAAAGTACTATATTTTATTATAAACAGGACCGAACTTTGAAATTTCCTTGCTTGCTCTCAAGAGCTTCATCTCGCCTGTCTTCAGGTTCATTGTGACTTTTGTGTCAGGTGTGATGTCACAATTGAATGTTACCACTCTACCCCATTTAGAACGCACAGGCTAACAATATTTTTTTCACAATATTATCTTTTACAAAAGAAATTTCTATTTCAATCTTTTCAAAGAAATGTTTTTTTTTTCTGATTTTTAAAATCAATAACAATAGGATTAAGAGACAATTCTTTAATTCCACCCAAAGATCGCTTAATCCGAGATGCCATTCTGAGATTGGAATATCGGTTTCAATAGTCAGTCACATTAACGGTAAGTTTTGTCGTTGCGTTAGAATTTAGCGCTGGGAAGGTGTGGAGTTTTCGTCTTTTAAACAAAATAAAACATTCCAAAAATAAATTATAACAATAACTAAATAAAAACTCCGAATATAAAAGATAATGGTGCGATGCTACCCCTCCGAGGAACAATATAAATCGAAGTGGTGAATTAAAATATGGCCGAACAACCTGTATTTGGTTAGCTTCACGAAAACACGTCTTATGTTGAAGTAACTGATCTTTATTTTTTTATTTTATTTTATTTTTTTAAAGGGACGAAATTGATATAGATTAAGACAAGTAATAAACTATAATTAAAATATACAATATTTATTTACAAAATAAAATATACACTTCGATGAAAATTGATCGAAATACGTAATTTTAACGAGAAGTATTATAAGTGAAATGGGAAAATAGAGATTTTATAAATTACTATCTGAATCTACTTTTTCAATTCGTTCACACAGCTATGCTGTTATCGCTGGACGATTTACTTTCGTCTAATTTAAGTTTCGATGAATAAATTAAAAATGAATCCCAAATATGCGATTCCACTAAATCATCAGCATTCAACTTTTTGAATATGTCTACGTCTTGACTTGCAGAAATTTTCTTAATCGCAGCCTGCAAATACAGAATATAATTAGTTCATTTAATTTAAGAGAAAAAATATTTTAAAGTAACACAAATTTTAGCTCACCAAGCAAGCTATGAGAACCGTATCACTATCATTCCTTTCTTTTCTATCTTTGCATAACCTCACCAATCTATGAATTCCTAGATGAAAATTTTAAATTAAGTTTTAAGTTATCTATAAACTTCAATATTATTTCTATTCGCCATTTATTTACCTTGCATTTCAATTATTATGGATGAAATATCTTTATAACTCGAAAGACGAGATATAGCGATGGCTGATTTTTGCAAAATACGCTCACACGCCGATTTCTCTGCTTTACTGTGCATGAGAGATGGTCTCAATTGAAGAAAACACAAGAGGAGGACAACGCCACCCGTATCGGAAACGTGATGAGGAAAAGACGTAGCCATATTTGCAAATATCGTAGCCATCTGTAACCACAAAACGATATTAAATCAAAGTAATTAAGTGCAAATAATAAAATATTCATAATCCGTACCTGATCTTTAATATATAGAGATGATGACGATTCTGTATGTAATCTATATTTCGTTATAAGTTTTTGCACTGTACCACATTCTTTAATAATATTACAAGATTCACTATCTAAATATGATAAATTCGCTAAGGCTGATGTTGCAAGTAAAAAAACTTCTTCACTAAATGTAGTTTCTATTAAATCAGTGAGTGAACTAATGATATAATTGATATTAAATTTCAACTTCGATACAGTGAGACCACATTTATCCATCCAAGGTGCTGTAATCTGTGTGAGTAATCCCGCTGCTTCACTTCTTATTTCTTCTACAGATTCGTGTTGAAAAACATGCGTAATGCATTCAATTCCTCCGGCCTAAAAGATTATCGATTTTCAATCATTAAACTCATAATCTAATAACTTATTGGAAATTTGAAATCTTGGAAAACTTACTTTAACGAATTTTTCAACTGTGCTAGGAGTAGAACATACAACAGATAAAGCTCTCAACGCTAAAAGTATTAGGGAGTTATCTTTATTCTTTGTGCATATTTCTAGTAAGGCATTAATTCCACCAACCTGTTAAATTTATTGCAAGATCTTAAAAATCTACATTAAAAAATTAAGGAACAATTATTAAAATTAACTTCAAGACTAACCTTAGAAATTAAATATCTGATGACATCTGAAATTTCAGCTAATGTGATAAGAGAAGTAATTGCAGTTTTCAAAGAGTATGCATCGTTTCCTTTAAGGATCATTTGTACAATTGTCTACTTAAAAAATTTATAATACATTATAAACTACTCTGACTAAATTTAATGTCATTTGAGAGATAAAAACATTACATGTAAGTTATATGTTATCAATATTCTTGTATGTCTTTCCACTTCTTTTCTAAAGTTCTCGAGAATTATTTCAATTCTATCTTCATTTCTGCATTATTAATATTATAATAAATTAATTTTTAAAAAATGGATAATTTAAAACTTTTTTTAAAGTTAAATAATGAAAAGATTTTACTTCTTAGATAATTCTTCCAATTTTCTACACATTTCTTCCATTTTCGGTTTGTACTAAAATAAGAAAATAATTGAAGAACAAATGATTGAAAACGTACTTTTTTTTAAATAAATTTCTAAATACTTACGTATGATAGATGTAAAAATGTAATGTTTATTTCATAATATTTAGCTAAATTATTAATGCCGATGCATAATTCTTTACAACTATTCGACCATTGTCCATGAATGGCTGTTTTGATACAATGATTAAAATTTTCATTAACTTTGTTAGTCAGTTTATTTAAAGTAACCACAGCATCTGCAATAATATTGATTAATTATTAGGCAATAAAACAAAATATGAAATAAAAATTCTGTAATACCTTGAGATATCCTAACAAATTGGCATTGTGTTAAATCTTTTCCTTGCAGAGTGCTGAGGCATTCAGTCTCTGTTAACGTGTGAAGATCATAAAGCCACTTTTGTATAGAAGTCGAAGTCCATTCACTGAGGAAAAAAAATATTTATAATAAAATGAGATTGTTAAATGTACTATAGAATAGGAAAGCTGGCATTATGCATTGTAATATAAACATCTGAAACTTTTAATATTTGAAAGAAGAACAAAGAATCAACTACGCGGATGAAGTCAAATAACAGATGTTCTTTCTATTGATGGTGGAACGGCAGATGGTAAACCTCAGTCTGCACAACTACTTCCATCAGTTGAGTAATAAAAAGTAATATTTTATAACATAAAATTCTTAACAATTGCGATGCTTTAAAATATGCAATATTGACAAAATTTAAGAGTATTTTTGTTGAATTGACATAATAAAAATGAATATAAAATGATATTTGTAATTAATTTAATTGTATTTAACAATATTTTATATTTATTGATTAAAAAGCAATAGCTCACCTGCATCTTTCTGGAATTTCTTTTTTCAATGTTGTTTTCTCTGACTGATTTTTTGCTTGATTTGTTAAAGGTGCCATATCGGTATAGGTTTCATCGATTTTATCAATTGAAGTTTTTCGTTCTCGATCGCGATTGTTTTCCGAAGCTTCCTTATAATAATTATTGGAAGATAAATGTTCGGAAGTAATTTCTTCATATATAATTTCTTCCATTCTTGGAGATTTTTTCGGAGTACTAGTCTGTGGAGAAGGAGTTAACGCTTTGAAGGAAGCAAAGTTTTCATATAAAGGCTTTTCTGTTACTTTGTCGGGAGAGTTTGTATTTTCATTTAAATTATTGCTAATATAATTTGTATTGGCATGATTTCTTAAAATAGGCGTTTCCACTTCTTCGGGAATACCAACTGTTGGTAAATGAGGTGTACTGGAAGAAGTACTTATTCTTCTTCCATTCGGGTACTGTGGAGAATCTGTAGAAGGCTTATTATTATTAACAGATTCTGTTGGACTGTTATTGTTTAACAGGGGAGTACTAGCGGAAGAAACTCTTTTCTGTAAGAAAAATGTAATTATTATTATTTATAATGTAAACTTAACATTCTCAGGTTTAAAAACGAATAGTTTCTTTATAGATAATTTTGTTATTTTAGATATTACAAAATTTTCATTAATTTACTTTTTCAATAACTTAAAAGAATAATGGGAGATTTTTTTTAAAATTTATATAAATTCAGTATTGACAACTAGTTGTTTTATCATTTTTATTTATATTAAAAATAATAATTAACAATTTCTGCAGAATTAAGAATATTCTGCTATTTTTTTTTCTATTTTTATTATTGAAAAAAAATGTAATTGGACTATATTAAATAATGTTTATGGTTACAAATGAAATAGATTGGGGCCCTTTTTGTCTAGATTGCCATTTTCCTAATCCCCAATGGGGCCACAAATTTCATTATTAATAAATAACAGATAATTCGTGACATATGACCTATTCTGCAAATACAAAAGAAACTAATGAACGATATTTGTACATTGTCCCATGCAACTTTTTCGTAGGTTTATCAAAACTTAGCTTTGAAAACAAGAAATATTCCTTGTTTTCAAAGCCAAGTTAACCCCGATTGCAATCAGTACCACTTTGCGAGAGTACTGATCCAACATCGAATTATAGTTTGAAGCTTCTTCCATAATGTATGATGTTCTTTTTTTTATAGCCTGTGCTCCCTCCTTTTTTATAGTCTGCGGAACCGCTGAACACAAAATATACTAAGTGGAGAGAATTATGTACTGTACGTATCTAATAATTTTAATTAATGAATTTCTGAAGTCGAGATATTTCTACTTTCATATATTAAATGTTTGTCAAAATACAAGTAATAGATTTTATAAATTTTACTCACATTAAACATTACTTTATATCTAATTTTGCATTTTTGATATTGAACGAAAGTGTAAGGCCTATTACATCAATATTTTAAGGCAACTTCGTTTACACGAAGTCACAAAGCATGCACTATAATTGTCCTTTACGACCAATTAAAATAAGTTAAGTATAAATAATAATAAAGTATTAACATGCTTTATTATTCCTTATAGATGTTTGTTATTCATCTGAAATATATTTAAGTAAATAAATATAATGTTGACATATAATTAACCTAATTTATTTTGTTTATTTAGTTGGTTGATATAGCAGATATGCCGATCTATACGTATACTGTACTGTATATTTCGCATTACTTATTGTCCTTACAATGAATAGTGATATTGGCTAATATAATGTACTGTACAGTACGTGAATGATATAAAGAATTGCATTTATTATGAATGTTGTCTGATAATCTAAAGCGATTATTTACATTAATTAGCACTTTAATTAAACAAAAGTTCTAGTGGCATTTCTTCTAATTTGAACGTTGTGTCAAAGTATTTTACTCGTCACTCGTTTCAAATATGAGTAAGATTAGAATGATCTAGCAGTTTTCTTTAGTAACTTTAAGCAGTTGACTCTACAATTATTTCCTCTGCAAATTTTCCAAAGAAACATTCAACTCTTGAGGTAATGGGGCAGATCTTTTAAATTCTATCAAAAGTTTCGCAATGGCATCTTTATTCGATTAAGCAGTATTGTAACAATAGTATTTACTTGGTAATAATCCTCATGGCAATAAATTCCGTAGAAAAACTTATTTTAAATTAAAACCAATTAAAAAACATAAGAAACGGTATGTGGACATATAAACCAAGTAAGTTAAATATCACAGTAATAGGAAATATAATTGTAAAGTCTTTAGATGTATCAACATTTTTGACAAGTGGAAAGCGAGAAAATTACATTTTGAAAAAAAATATATTGAAAATTTTACTATTATTTTCTTTTCCAATTTCACTACATAAGCTTGTGTACAAGTCATAGTAATTATTCACTACATAAGCCTTGTAAGCCTTATTTTCCGAGAAGGACTGAAATTTAAAATTTAACAGGAGCGCAGAACAACTAGTTACACTACTGACATCCCGCGAAAAAAGGCCATCAAGTTTATAATTAATTCACATAGAAATAATTCAAAAATTCAATTCAATATTTACTTATAGATAGTAATCATTTTAATAGCGATAAAGTACAATCAATATAATTAATTAAACATACAACACAAACAAATTACTCCAATAATTTATGACTACAGTCACGCATTCCATTATTTATCAACCCTAATTTCAGATAGTCCTACTTATTTAAACATTTTACATCAGACTTAAACAAATGCACGTGAAATATTATTTACTAATTAAATTATATTTTTGTTAATGTTTTTCTGGATTAGAAATGGGGAATATTGGGGTTGAACCATACGCATCTAAAATATTCACGTCCAACTGATACTACTAATTAAATTATACGTTAGTTATGTTCATCTGGTTTCGAGGTGAGGAGGATTGTGAGCCACCTCCTAAAACATCATTAAAATGCATCGTCATTATACACGTTTGTTCTCAAAGTTTCTATCTTAATTAGAAATGAATAAAGTTTGAATTGAAAGGTCTGAAGAAATGACACAAAGCAAGTTAAATAAAAACATTTAAAATAATAATACACAATGGTCCAAATACAATAGTTATAATGTTAATATTTCTAATTTTTTAATCTGTTTAATCAAATTATTTTTTCTATTTATAATGCTATTCTCATCATTTGCTCTAGCGCAAAAATAGAGATAATTTCGTTAACAACTGTATCATAAAAAATATCGGAACAAAAATAGCACATCTTATTCTATCTGTAAGAAGCTACAGTATTTTGCAGTTTAATAAGTTTCATCATAGACTTAATTTTCTTTAGACATTTGTTTTGTTACTGTACATGTCAGCATCAATTGCAAGGGTTTCCTTCTTAAAAAATGGCTTTGAAACATATGTTGGTGAAATGAACAGTATGATTTTTGCTTCAAATTTCTTCTAAAATTTGTACTTCACTTCAGAAGGTGCTTGATTTTCATTGCTCACATAATAAATTTCATTTCCTGGCATTTTCATGCCAGAGAGAGAAAAGTATTTTTTGTTATCCAAAAATTTCTTATGAGCCATCTGCTTTGTGTTCACTTATTCGTTATTCTATTCTACAGTATTTCCGAAAATCATGGAATACTATAACTTTATCATTGCCAATGAAACTCGTAATGATGCTAACTTACTGTTGTACCACTTGTACAGTGCGTATAATTTATACAATTGTGGGTTGGCATTATTAAGCTTGTATGTTGCAAGAAAATGCATTAACAGCATTTAAAGGATCTAGGAATTTTATGAAACGAACCTAACCAGGAACAGATCTAAGGATTTTATGAGAAGTGCAATCTTCATAATTAAAAACTAAAAACACACGAATAAATAAATATCTTATTTAAATCCCATTAAAACATTAGAAAACGCGTATTACAAGTCGTTTTGTTTTATTTTAAAGGAGTGATTAGCCTATTTTAGATGGTAATCACATTCTAGATCCGTCCCTGCCATTAACACCGTTTCTTTACCGATTAATTAATTAACTTTATTAATTGCGAAAAGCTTTCTTGAAAGCTATAAAAGAAAATATAATACGAAATACAATAAAAGAAGAAAAATAAATAATATGTTTAAACTTTGCAAAAAATTATCATTATAATAAACGTTTAGGTTACATATTCTGTTACAATTTTATCATATGCTATAAATAATCAATAATAAAGAGAAAAATTGACATTTATTCTATTACATAATCAATCATATTAAATAATAGAATAATTTTATAAACAAATCTATAAAAAGGAAGCCCAAGAAGAATAGGTTATTGAGTTGAAAGGGTCTAATTTAAATATTCTATTCATAATGAACTAAATATGTTTTAAACTATTTAATAGCGTATATATTTTAAATGTTTAATTTTAATTATTTATTTTTTCTTGACATAATTAAAAGATTTTAATTTTCAAAATATGTCAATTTTAAGTATTTATAAACATTCTGTTCTCTATTTTACAGGTGATATTCGATTATCTACGTTCTCTCAACGGATGAATTAAAATCATTTAATCATTAGAAAAAATAATATATATTTTAAACAAAATCACAGGAAACTCACCAAAACGGGAGTATCTTGACCCGACAACTTGCCGATTCTCTGTCCCATTGTGAACTAAAAACACGACATGCGATGGAAATCCTCCGGCTCCGTGTAAAGAAAAGCCATCTGCTCCCATCTGCGCGATGGCCCTAACGAATTCGCACGAGATTGCCACGCGACCGTTATAATTCACCCAACACACACACATATACAAAAAAAAAGGAAACGATAAAGGGCAATTCAAACGGTCGCTCTTAATCCAGTCTTTAAAATAATCTTTACTTTTTGTAAAAAATTTATAAGTTCACCTTCTGATTATAACAAATTAAAATATCCAATTGTTTAAAGTCGAAATTTATAGTCGATCGAGACAGATGTCGATTTATTCCGAGAATAAGCCATCTGCTACCGAAGCAGATGGCAAACGATGCTTGACCGCTCATATGACGTCACGGCACGTGCCGAGTGACCGTTCATTCTATTCAAATAAGAAAAAGAGTTTGCAGTTTCCTGATTTTTGAAAGCTTCAAAAAAAATGTGCGGATGTCCGAAGATTTCGATAGACAAAAAAACTGGATAGTCACTTCCGTTACATTATAAATACGAAACATATTTTAATTTACGAAAGTTCGAGCCTGCATTAAAAAAAGCGTGATCTGACGTATTTTTATAGAAATATGGCAGAAATTGTTTAAAAGCTATGTAAAAAATATATCAATTATCATAGCGCAAACAGTTTAATTTAAACGTTTTCCGATCTACATTCGAATTGCACTATGTAAACCGAATAAAATAGATACAGATCAGTTGAATTTTAGTTTAACATATTCTTAAGTCGTCTAGTGTAATTCTGTGCAAAATAAAAAATTTGAATATTTATTGATCTTACAATAGCGGGCATGGAATACAATAAACGGCTTAACGAAGAGTTCGTATGCTTGTGGCCAAGTCCCGCATGTGCTGCATTATTTAACTAACAAAAGAAGCATAAACCTATAGTTGGTCCATCGATCATCAAAAATCCGTTAAAAAGGAGCGGAGGAAAATATTAAATAGATCAGTTTTTTATCAATAGAATGTTCGAAGAATGAAATTGGGGTACGGCGAGAAAATTTCCATACAATAAAAAAAAGTAGTAGGCCTAATATTAATAACGATGAAAGTTTAATTATAAAAGTCTAGATTTTAATTCAAAATATATACAATTAAATGTATAATTGTAACATGTTACAAATAAACGCGTTATTATCTATCTTTCACGAGTTTTTTTAAACAAAAATTCTGTGTAAATCCTTCGAATATAAATAATTAACAATAAAATTAGGAAATGTAAAAACGGGTGCGTATCATGTGACAGTTCATAAATCTTTTTTTTTTTCTCTCGATCTTTCATATTTATCATAAAATTTAACAATTACAGTAACACATACACGATTCAATGCAGAATATGACTTTATTGATTCAAATTTTTATTATTTAAATCAATATTAAGAATATTTTCCTAATATATTTTCTTCTCTCAAAATATTAAATCCTAAACAATCAAATAAATTCAACTTGATAGTAATTTTATTATCAAAACAATATTAAACCATTGGTATTCTTCGGTTTAAAAAAACCTTTATAAGTAAAAAAAACTCATTCTAAATTAATGAATAAATAAATGTGAATAAAACCTGGCATAATAAAAAAATTACACGAAAATTTTTACGAAGGAAATTTACATCCTTCGAGGAATATGCCTCTTCGAATTTATAATTTTTATACAAGATGTTTTTGTAACAGAACGGGTTTCTAGAAGGACGAATAGTAGTAATTTATAGATCTCACAAGTTAGACGTGAAAAAATATAAAACAGCATTCTTCTGTGCCACTTGATCCAACTTATGGCCCGCCGGGGTTTTTTTTTTCTGGCCCGAGAAAAAATAGACCGAATCGATGTTTCAAGATTATTTTAAGAAGTATGAATTTCGACTTAGCAATCAATAATCGAATTTATTCTATCGTTGCGACGAGTATCTGAAAATAAACACCGGAGTTCGCGCCTCACTCGGACGAGCTGGCAGCGGGAGTTTTTCCGGGTTTTCCTCCTTGTCAATGACGCCTGAATAGGGGCCAGCTTCCCCTCCAAGTCCTCCCGGAAGGCACTCTTTCCCCCTTCTCGCGTTGACCGTCTCCTATAAGGCCGGCTTTGGTCGCCTTAGTGACCTCTCTCGTCTTCCTCGGATTAGTCGTCTTTGATAAGGCCGCCTCTTTGATCGCTGAACGATCTTCCCCTTCTGTTCTTCCGGAGTGAAAGCGAAGGCTACAACACTCCTCTATCGAGATGAGAAATGAGTATCTGAAAATCTTATCACTTATTTGTCATCTTCAGTTACAGTTAAAATGGAATTCCTATTTCAGAGTGAAACCCGTATTCACTGCTGAATAAATATCGAGATTGATTTTCAACTCTGCGACTAACCGGCTCAAGCTGATTATGCTCGTTATCGTTCTGTCGGGCTACTTGAAAATGAATATTTTCAAGTAGATTTTCAAGTAGAATTAGAGTTAGTCAGGTAGCCCGATAGAACAGGTAGTGATAGTCTCAACATACTAGCTTATATTTTTGGCGTTAATCTTTACCTAACTCTAATTCAGAGTTCAATAAATCCAAAAAAGATTAAATCTTTAAATCTAAATATATAAAATTGCTTGTCCTGACTGACTCATTCATTCATTCACTGATTCATCATCGCCCAGAGCAAACCGCTTAACCTAAAGAGGTGAAATTTGGTACACAGTTAGGGTACGTCATGGAAACGCACACTAAGAAAGGATTTTTCGAAATTCCAACNCTTCTCGCGTTGACCGTCTCCTATAAGGCCGGCTTTGGTCGCCTTAGTGACCTCTCTCGTCTTCCTCGGATTAGTCGTCTTTGATAAGGCCGCCTCTTTGATCGCTGAACGATCTTCCCCTTCTGTTCTTCCGGAGTGAAAGCGAAGGCTACAACACTCCTCTATCGAGATGAGAAATGAGTATCTGAAAATCTTATCACTTATTTGTCATCTTCAGTTACAGTTAAAATGGAATTCCTATTTCAGAGTGAAACCCGTATTCACTGCTGAATAAATATCGAGATTGATTTTCAACTCTGCGACTAACCGGCTCAAGCTGATTATGCTCGTTATCGTTCTGTCGGGCTACTTGAAAATGAATATTTTCAAGTAGATTTTCAAGTAGAATTAGAGTTAGTCAGGTAGCCCGATAGAACAGGTAGTGATAGTCTCAACATACTAGCTTATATTTTTGGCGTTAATCTTTACCTAACTCTAATTCAGAGTTCAATAAATCCAAAAAAGATTAAATCTTTAAATATATTTATATAAATAATAGATTTCTGTACAATATAAAGCGTGTAAAATAAATGTGTATAATTTTTTAATAATAATTTTTATGAGTCATTATAAAAATGTTAACTGCATTCATTTACTAACAATAAATCATAATTGAATCACAATTCATATCATTAATTTTTTTTCATACTATAACGCTTTTTTCTGCCTTGTGTATACTGAGGGTTTTTTCCCCATGCCCATCGTGGATCTGCCACAATGGTGAGGGAAGGACCTGTGCACCTGCCTAATTACGGCACTGAGTATTATAAGGAAACTTCAACAGTAAGGTAAAACTAAAGTTTAAGATATTTTTGTAAAGTAATATAACTTATAAATCAATCTTTGAACTTTTTGTTGACAATTTTCGCGACTTGTCCCTATATACACATAAAAATTATTTTTAACACAAAATATAAAATACTTAAGTTGGAAAAAGTTAGAGGTTAAATACATCAGAAATAAAGCAGTTCTAAATATGAATATATTTTTCAACTTTTCTTTTTCTGCACTAATAAAAAACATAACCGTCTATAGAATGGTAATTTCTAGCTGGTATCTTCTCGTTCCGTTTTACAAAAATATGATTCATTATTCCTGTTGTTATGATTAAATTTTAGTTTTTAAAAGTGCCATATTTTGTAAAGTGTCATTTTAACTAATCTTTTGAAAAAGCATTTTTAATAGGAAAATCTAATGATTAAGATTTATTTAATATCTTATTTTCTATTTTTTAGCTGAAGTTATTAATAGATATTTTTATGTCTTATGCAATAAAAAATATTTAAATGAAATTTTGCAGAAAATTACCTAAACTTTTGAGACATACCTTACAAGTGATTTCTTTGTAATACGAATTTTCTAATGTCTTAGATGATAAAACTTAAATCATCTTCAGTAAATGTATATTATATGAAAAATGTTTGCTTTATAAAGATTTTAACATTAAATTCACACAGTTTTTTTTGCTTTAAATATTTTTATGAACTTTATTTCTTGAAATATATACACTACAAACACTGATAAATGCTAAAACAAATTTAAACAATAAAAATTTCCAAGATCATTTTAAAAATAAGAAATATTTCTGAAAATAATTGAATTTCATCTGATTATAATAAACAAAAAACTTTCAAGTGTAAAGTTTCAGAATATTTATTATTAATCTTTTAACTGTGGCAAAAAGTTAATGTAATTTTTTTGTAAGTAAATAAGCATAAATTATTAAGAAAGTAGCTTTTCAGGTTTTAAAATTTATAATTTTAATTCTAATCTATTATATACTGTAGAAAGGAATATTTATATAAACATTATAATTTTATTCATTAAAATAATTACACAGATATCTAAATTTTCAATTTCTCAGTTGAGAGAGATTTTAAGAAATTAAAATAATACAAATAACATTTACAATATACATATTTTTTGGTAAAATAACACTTAATTTTCCATTTATATAATACAACAACTAAATAAAAATATATTGAATTGTGCTGGATTTTCATTTTTACATTCTAGTTATATTCTAATAAAATATGCTAAATGACTTCTGAAAATTATCTATAATAAACTATTATGTTTTAATAATTTTTGTTTCTTAATAAAACTCTAAACAAATTTTAAATATATATTCAATTATTTTACTCCAAATAATAAATATACTTAATAATGTTTATTTCATTAGCAGAGAGTACTTCTAAATTAAAAAAGTTTTCATTCATTTGATTTCTATAAAAACATAAACAGATGCCTCTAAATAAATAGAACACAATTCTTCATAAAATAATGAAATATAAAAAGTAATAATCAGTTTACCTGCCAAACAATTATTGATTTTTTTAAAAAATGCAAACAAAAACATCAATTCTGTGGAAAATGAAAGAGATTCCTGCGTATAATAATATGGATATATGCATTATTTGTAGATTATATAAATATTTCACTTGTCAAAATTATAAACTGACTAAAGCAGATAGAAATGTTGATTACTACTTGTATTAACTTTAGGGTCGTTATTTACTTCATTTCTCTCAGAATACTGAACTTACAAAATTACCTACCTGAGACTGCACAAAATTTCACATAATATTTTAGCAGTTTAAGGCCACCAAATATTAGAAATTTAAGAATTATTATGCTTTTTTACTGTATTTTAAAATTTTATGGTATAAAAACAAAAGAAATTTTTGATGTGTCAGATAAACTGATAGGATATATCAATGATATAATTCAGTTTTCCACTTTTACTTCAGATATTTTTTGATTATCAAATTCTACATTAATCTTTCCTGTTCTTCAATTAAAAATTCCTTTTTATGCTAAAGAATACAGCATATCTAGATCTCATCTATCGTCTTCGTAATTAGTTAAGGGAACTGTTATATTTTCTGCGTTTTGAACCAAATAGTCTTCTGTAAAGGCTGCTAGTCCGAATAGACTTCTTCTCGTTGCATAACATACACGTTGATATAAAACAATCTATGGCCGGTCTGGGAACGTTTAGTGTTTTTTGTAAAGCGATACGCATTTTGACTTTTCCTCCGTGTCCAGTTGTATTAACATGACAATCGTACAATTTTTCATACAGATCTTCATAAGGAACTATGTAATTTACATTCAAATCATTGCCAAATCTTTTACGAACTAAATGAGATTGTTCATTATCAGTTAGTACATCGTATGTACCTAATAGATAGTAGTCTCTTCTACTTTTTGACTTCCTGTAAATAAGTAGTATATATTTTAGATTATTTATGTAATGTGTCTAAAATAACAAGTTTGTTTTTGAATAAAATTGATAATTTTATAATATTTTTACTTTATAACATTCATATAATTAAAAATAATAAATATATAATCATTTTAAGCTAATATATTTTATTTATAATTATACAGAAATCCATAAAAATTACAAAAACAAAAATTATATAATGTTAACTTGATAATCATGTAGAATATTGTTAAGTCTGTACATTTTTCAATTAATAAAAACTGATCTTAAACTTTTCTAAAATATTTGTTGTAGCTTTATCAATAACAAAACCATCTTAAAAAGTGATTTTTTAAATCATATACATCAGGCATGGGGCAAACTGTAGGTCTCCATGGTTTTTCTATACTCAGCATACTATCAGGATCCTTAAAGTATTTATGTCATAAATAAATTTATAACAATTTAATGCAAAACTCACATTATTACAACCTATAAATTTAAAAATCAGTTTTTCTTAGTATTCCTTATTCCTTTACAAGACTTGGCAACAATACAAATATCAGTTGTACTTATTAATAAGTTTTAATAATTGAATTACAACATTGAAAAACTAATAAAAAAATTGTAATCTCAAACTTGTCACTAAAATTAAGTACAGTAAATAATGTTTATTTTTTCTTAAAACTTTTCAATCTACAGTTTTTAAAAGAATAAAAGCTATATAATTTTACTACTTATATTACAATATATACAATCAAATTTTATATACAATTTACATAAAATCCAACACAGTGGTACCTCAAACTTCAAACGATAAATTCGACAAAAATTTGCCTTGGATTTTGAACTGCATGTGCAGTAAAAAATGCTGTCGTGCGCCCAAGTTGTCCCAGACCCTCCTGCTCTTGCATCACATTCTTGTTTTCAGTTCTTTTGCTGCTTTATTTTTGGTGTCTATATCCAAGGCTTTGGAGTCAGAGTCATGGAGTTTTGGTGTTTTAGCTGGAGTCGGAGTCATCAAAAAATCTGCTGACTCCAACTCCTTTTTACTTCCCAACTTGTTATGTATATAAAACGGAAAAGTGTTGGAATCGTGTCAAATTTGACCCTCCATATTTTTTTTTTTTTTGCAAATATACATGTTTGGAGACCTCCCAAACCCCTCAAAGTCAATAAAAGGGGAAAAATTCCTGTGCATGTGTGTTGACGTCTAATTTGTTTAATTTCTTTATTTTCTGTTCTGAGATATTAAACAATATTTCAGAACGGGTAAAGTTTAAGAAACGAAATGTGGCACTGGCTTGCGTATAAAGGGGCATTAATATTACATTTAGGTTCTTAATTAAAGGTCGATAGGGTGAAGACATAAAAGGGGCCATGTTTCATATCTCTTAATGAATATTTTACTTGTTATTAGCGTTCAAAATTTAAAATAAAATAAAACTCGTCTCTACCCTCAAAATAAGCTTTTTTGTTATTTTATAATAGTACAGTAAAACCCATTAAGATGTCTCGCCTAAGATGTTCGAATGTATATGGGGACATGATTTAGTTCAACCACTTTGACACTTAATAACTAACTCCTGTGTCCTCATCTGACTCTGATTCTGACCACTCTGACCACAGAAATTATTAGGCTTCAAACATGGTAAACAAAATTATGCCCCCACACATAGTCTAACATCCACACATATAGAAAAAAACTCAAATCGTTTGCATATCTCAAAATTTCAAGGTGTCCTGAGTCCAAAAATGTAAAAATTTGGAAAGGGTCATTTTTTGACCGAGCGCTACACTTTCCTTCTGTTATGTATAACAGCCGGAAAAGTAAAAATTATCGAATACATATTTATATATTACTTAGAGGAGTCTTTTAGCGTTGGAATGAAAAGTTTCTATGTTCTATCTTTATTAGAACTCTATTTATTGAATCTTTTATTCTGAGGTCACATGATGACATCAGAATTTTTGGGTCTCTTTCAGTAACAAGTCCTCCCTTGGTCGGAGTCGGATGGTAAGGAAAAGTTGGAGTCGGTACATTTTTACGCAACTCTACAGCCCTGGTTTATATATATATGTATTGTTTGTTACTGGATTTTTAACAATTCCTTCCTGCAATTTTTCTTCATCAACAGTTTTTGGGTGTCCCGTACATAGTAATCTATCATAATCTATCATTTAGTTGAAAATTTCCCAGATGGAATTTTTTAAACCACAAATTCAAAGTTCAAAATTTAGGAGCATTTTCTCCATACGGATTATAAGTTAACAATGAACTTACTCTTATTAAAACCAATCGGTCTCCACATTTTAACACAAACAAAATACATTTGATCCATAAGACTTTGTGAAGTCAACTGCTCTGTCACAATGCATTTTACAAAGTGATGTGACTATACTCCCACATCTGTTCAAGGTTAAGTGAAAACGATGTCAATCGACCCCCCATGTAGCTTCAGTCCTGCTCTGTCATAATGCATTTTGAGAGCAGTTGACTTCACAAAGTCTTATAGATCAGACGTATTTTGTTTGTGTTAAAATCTGGAGACCAATTGGTTTTAATAAGAGTAAGTTCATTGTTAGTTTCCTTCCTTTTTTTGTGTGTTTTAATATACTTAACAATATTTATTATTAATAGTGTAACTGTCTACCAGAATTTGGAAAATGTAGGAGAAACTAAGACATTTACTGGTCCCAGATAATATGTTATACCACATTGTCATTGTATTCAAATTTATACTTGATATTTTAGTTTTAGTGTATGGGTTACATTGAGAAATTGTAAATGCAGTGCACTGCATATGTTGGCTATTCCGTTGTATTGGCTGGTTATCGGTGTTGTAGTTGTTACGTTGTTACCATGTGTTTGTAAGCTGATGACTAAAAATTCAGGGTCCTTGTACCCGAAATGCATACTTGCCTAAATTTGAAATGTGATTATTAAAGACCAACCCTGTTTTTTTAATAAAAGTTCTGGTCCTTCTTTCTGTCGGCCTTGGTGTGATAAGCCCTGCAAACTGTTATACCCTATTTATTAAGTTATCTAATTCTGTCTAATTTATAGTCATGGGCAAAAAGCATTGTTTATTATAACTATTTGTTTGACTTAATAAGACCTAATAACCATGGCACGGATAGCTGAGCGGTCAATGTGGTAGCCTACTGCTCTGGGACCCAGGATCAAATCCGGATGGGTTGAAAAATCCCCAGGAATTTCTTGGGGTAGTCCAACCGGATATGTCTATCTCCATCCCTTACCACCTGGCTGCCCCATTGTGGGCCTGGCCAAACCTTTAATGGGCTTGCCAAAAGAGTCCCACCTAGTGACCACCAGGTGGAAAGAATTAAAAATAAATAAATAAAATAACCATGGCATCTGAGAAGTATATGGAAGCAATGAAGTGTAAGAGAAAGGTTGCAATATTGATAATTGAGGTTAAAAAAGTAGTTAGCATGAAAGCAGTACACGTAGGCAGATCTGCCAGCTGTGTTTAGGATGACGATGTGCGATCATTAAGTGCAATTTTCATTTAATTAAATTATTCACACATTTTATTTCTTTTCATTTACCATTATGGTATTTAAGAAAGGTCGCCTCTGCTGTGGAAGACTGTTGTTCTGGTGATTGGAGGTAGCGAAAGTGTAGACATTTTTATTCTGTTACGTTTTTTAAATTGTAAATTCGTCAGCAATTTTTTACGAATGGTATTTAATTATGTTATTTTTATCTTAGATTATGTGTATGTGCTATTTTAAGTTTTTTTGAAATTGTTTAGGGTGTGGGAATGGATTGATTCCCTTTCCATTATTTCTAACGGAAAAAATTGTTTTGGACTTTGAATGGCCTCTCAGAATGAATTAAATTCGAAGTACGAGGCACCACTGTACTTTTAGTGTTTCAGCCTGATCTACATATTTATAAATATGCTAATAATTTCATCAAATAAATCTAAGATTTATTTTATAATAAAATTTATAGAAAAAGTTCAATGAGTTTCTTAACTTTCTTGGAACAATTAAAATGTTGGTGCTGCCATCTGTTACAATATTTTATATATTTTTAATTATTATAAAATGGCAAAAAGCATAATTTTGAGGATAGGGATGGATTTTATAAAAAAATGTAAATACTAATAACGAGTAAAATTGTCATTAAATCTGACCCTACTTGAGATATGACACACTACTAGGGTGGCCATCACCCAATGCCTAAAAAGGACACTGTTGGGGGTTAACCCCTGTGCACCCTGTTGACATCCCATGCTTTCCGTCTTTTTATACATACACGTATAAATAAAAAACAGAAAAATAAATGTATGGAATGTTCAATAAACAGTGATAATATTAAATGTCAAAAACCATACATGGAGTAACAAATGGAAACAATGTAACAAATGTTGAGAAAGAAAAGAAAAAGAAAAAGCACTCAGTATTTTACTAAAAAGCCAAGCTGCACATGCAACTTCCCTCCAGTTAAGTAAAAGGAGAATTCTGCCGAAGTCTGATGATGATTGATTAGACCTTTTATCCCTGCCATGCCTTCGTCCAATAAACATTTGTAAACACTTGTGAAGTTCTTTGGCCTCTTAACAAAAAAAAAATGGCCAAAGTGCCACTAGGTCAAAGTGGTGTAGACCAGTGTTTTTCAACCTTCTTGAATACGCGACCCCTTTACAAGTTAAAAAATTCTGGCGACCCCCTAGGGCCATATTTAAACTATATCAGTAATTTTAAAAACTATGTATTTAATTTTCTTTCTGTTGAGACAAATTATTGTTGATTAAAATAGAAATTTCAGAAGAATTGACAATAATTTAACAGACATGAAGTATGAAACTTCCTTTAATTATAACATTACTCACAGGGAACTGTTGACCTTTTTCATTTTTATTTTTTTTTTTTAGTATCTGAATTTCAGCTTATATTTTTCTACTTTTTATTTCCTTTTGCAAATCAGCTCAACACTTTTTCCGCTATTATTTTCTGGGGTGAGCCGTAATTGTCGCT